CAACAGAATGATAGTAATCAGTTACATTTCATGAGTGAATTAAGTTTTATCAACCAGATTTCAAAATATTGACAATCTTCATCATATATGTTAATAGTGTAAATGCCCATCTAATGAACTCCTTTATTCTCTCTTTGTTAAACAAAAACTAAAAACTGGCGTCAGGCTTAATTAAAACATTGTACATTGAATCAAATAAATGAATCCTGTTTGAAAATTAAACAAGTTTTTTGTCTCTCTCCCTCTCTCTCTCAGTTTATAATCATTTAGAGATGAACAGAGACAGTCTGATTGTAAGATTAAGAGATTAAAATTAGTCATCAAGAAGTGATTACTACACTGTTGAAAATAAGTTCATGATGAAACGATTAATCAGAGGAATTTACATTGGCCTAAACAGTCAGTCAGTCAGATGCAACGTAGAACTTCGTACGTAAGTACATCAGTTCATGTTGCCATACCACATCAGCACAGAGATGTAATTGTCAATTCAAATCCAATAGTAGAAGAGGTAGTAAACGTATTAGAGGTAATCGGAGAGGTTGGGATTAGAAGATATTATTATTCAAGAAATATGATTCAGTGAGATAAGGTTGGAAAGTCAAAACTAGAGTTGTTGAAGAACCCAGAAGATTAGGATTTGAGAGAACACAAACAATAAATGTACTGGCGCCATTGCTAACGATTTTGAGCCATGTCATTCAAGGTCTCTAACCATCGATTATTATCATCTCGCGGACCCCAACCAGGTAGTCGACAATTACCGACATGGCCAAGTCCATTCGTCAATGACTTCATGGATTTCTGCCATGTTTTGGTTTGGCCGCCCCTAACTTTCTTCCAACCTATTCCTACAGTACAAAACAAAGCTTTTTCAGGCAGTCGGTGGTTAGGCATACGCAACACATGTCCCAACCACCTCAACTGATGAAGTTTCAGCACTTCATCTATTGATTTGCCATTCTTACCTAGCACCCGATTACTAATAACATCGTTGCTCACTCGGGTGTCCCAGGATATACGAGCAATGCTTCGAAGACACCTATGATCGAAAACCAGTAACCTACGAATATATTGGCCTAAACATAAAACGGACGATTACACTACAATCTCAATGAATATTTATCAGTTTACACTTTTGTGTTGACATGCATACTGTGATAGGAGTGATCAGAATAATGAAGTCATATATTGTGAAGCATTAGCCTAAATAGCTTCAAAATCAGTTCATTTCAAAAACCTAGTAAATGTTGAAAATAGCAAAATAACTCTTGATTGATATAAAATTAGAGAATTAAAACGAAGTATATGATTGACAGCGATACAGCATTTCAATGGTAACTGTTCACTGCAAGATGGAATTCTTGACAAAAACGTCTTGTTTTACCGCGTGATGTCTTGGAAAGTGTTAATGTGTTAAAATGATCTAAAGAGAGGTTATTTGTTGGAATGTTTTTTGATATTAAGTGAAAAAGTAGACCAAATCGTCAAGCAGGCTGCCAAGTTGCTTTGGCATGTATTCGCCTGACCATAATTGTTCGAAAAGTATAGAGTCAAGAGAGTATACTTTAGCTTCGAAATCAACTCCGATTCCTCATTGTTCTATCAAAATTAAGTGAAGTACCCTGTCATGAAGTCATTAAAAAATAAAGTTTCATTGAGAGATACATTTAAAGTTAAATCTTCCTTACTTCACAGTAAAACAAATATTTTTTTTCAACCACAATCACTTTTTATGCATGTGTATCTTAAAAAGGCAGAAATTCTATCACTAATAGACGGACGTTTCGTCCAATAGTGTGAGACTCATCAGCAGTGAGCATCCATGACTTCTGATACTCGCTGGATTCGAATTCGGGGCATTCGGTCTTTGCCTAGTCCGTGAACGCTCAACCTCTGAGACACTGAGCTGATGGCATCCAACGAACCTAATGTTTAACTCTGATCAATATAAGGATTTTTGCGCAACCTCAGTCAATGTCTTTGGTAGTCAATACTAACACCCAACAGGGTAGAACTCTACTGGTCATATCTCGCTAGAACTCCGTAGATTTCTTAATAATGTCAGTCACTAGTGAGCACAGTTTATGAATATCGTATTGTGTAGTGCCTCCACATAAACTTGAGTTCGCTCATATTTAATTTGATTACGCCTTTCGATTAACTTATGTAACCACGCTATTTGTATAGCAACAACCCATTGGTATCTTTTATTGTCTGGTTTGTATGAGCTTGTAAGACTGAGCATTGCTTAAGCCTACGCGCTGACTCATCCTTTTCGCTTTAATGTTAATCTCCTAATACCCCTGTGAACTCACATGACTTGTCTCGCTTGCTTTTAACCTTGTCAGTCATTCGTCGCTTTTATTGATGTCTGCGCACGCCTATTTCGCTTGTCATATATCTGTCTTATTTTTGTCTGACTAAATATTCTTAGTCATGATCTTTATTTCTTTGAGTTGGCTCAAAAGCTTTCTCCAGTTCACGTCGCTTCATTCGTTTTATTCACTACTTCCCCGCTTTGCTTTGTGGTGTATCTCGAATAAACGTATTCATCATTACGAATTCATCTTCTGATTTATAAACTGTCAAACGCTATTTGGCAACGATTGTCTAAACGAGTTAATTACCAAACCTAAGAACACGCAGTAAATTGACACACTACAAATTAGTGAACCCGACGTGATCTAAACAGACCAACTACAGTATTACAAAATTATGCTGATTGTTATTTGTACCCAATAAAATCATGAATGAATCCTTTTTAAACTACCATTAGAAACCTGAAAGCACTAAATGGACACGTATAAAAATCGATCTCTATTATAAGGCAATACCAAATCGAAAATACTTTTGCTCAGTAGGGATTTACTTTAACAAGGAAATTCTCAGAGTTCTAAGTGAGAAATCGTGACCAATGAAATCCAACCCTATTGAGTGTAGTAGGTAATAACTGTCGAAGACAATGAATGAGGTTGGACAACAAATCCTTTTTTAATTTGACCAGACATTTACACAGTTAAATGATCAAGAGGTTACGTGATACACCGAACGTTCTGAACGTGTTAAAATCATTCCGTTTAATATCTTTACCATTTCTTATAAAAATAATAAAATGTAATTGGTTTTTTTTTTTGCCATTCTTCATTTTTCTACACAGCATTACAAATTTCTCAATCAATAACTAATCGAGAACATCAAAAACCCACTTGTTGTTGGTCATGTTATAATAATTGCCAATATAAGCATCATCATCATCAAAAATCTTCAACAATATCAAATAAACCACAATCAATCCGTTATGACAAGTATGCTCAATTTAAAATATTGAATATTGAAAATGTATTCAGTCAATCGTTACGCGCTATATGGTTATGTTTACGTTGTTTATTCACTTTCATATGTTTATTACCAATATGCTCATATCATTGGTTATTAATATTATTATGTAATAGTAGTAGTAGTAGTAGTAGTAGTAATCAAAAAATTAAATGTTTCAAACGTAGTCATAGTTTTCTATTTTATTTATATGTTACAATGAAATTAATTTATTTAATAAATATTATTGGACAATTATATTTAATGAAAATATTTCTTGGTGTTCAATCGTATTTTTTCGGTTTGAATATATTGAAAGATTTAATTTCTAATAAAGTATGGAGTGAAACTGGACATTTTCCACGTGTTACTTATTGTGATTTTGAAGCAAAGAAATTAGGCAAAAATTATAAGTAAGTGCAAATTTATTTTTTTTGTCTGTTTTTATCAAAAAACAAAGATACTGTAACATTGTCATATATATATTATAAATTTTGTATATTTGTCGGAGTTGTTTAGGGCAAATACCTTTCTATTTGAATATTTATTGTGAACATTCCTATGTGCTAAAATTATTGGTTGCTCTTCTGGTTGTTAGTAGTGTTGTTGACATTGTGACTTTTGAAAGTAATTTGGCTTTTAATTATGAGATTAAATGGTCAAAATTACTTTTACTGGTTAGAGTTTTTTTTGCATGATGCGGTAGCTTAACCAACGCTTGATGATTCCATTTTATTCGAGCTCGGGAACAGGAATAGTTCTAGAGTGTATTTATTCGAGCAGATGTAACTTTAGTGAAGAAAGTTGAATTCTTCAAATGAATTCATTCATCGAAAAAAAATTGACATTATGATCACAGGATCACGAAAATTGTTAAGTTGCAATACTTTATTTGTGATGGAAAAAAAGTGTAAGCAGTTAATTTATCTGTTAAATACCTTTTAGTCTAATTTCAATCAGAACGGTCGTATTCAAATATTTATTGTGATGGTTGATCTTCTGGTCGTTAAAATGATTGTTGGCATTGTGACTTCCAAGTGAATCCGACCTTCATCATGATACATCACATAAGTCTTCTGAATAAAGATTTACTAACTCCTAGAGAAGAGTTTCAATTGGTTGATATAACTTTCTTCGGTTAACGTTTTTGCAAGATACGGTCACTTTAATCACGCCACATCTTACCATTTTATTCCGGCTTAGGACTGACAGTAGCTCCGAAACGGTTCAAGATCAAATTTCTATATGTGTAATTTAATTGCTAAAATACAGAATTCATCAACTAGATTCATTTTATCGAATAACTTGTAAGTATGACCTTAGATTCTTATAAATCACGAAAATTGTTAGGTTGCAGTACTTTATTTACAATGGAAAAAATGTGAAAAGGAATTAGATCCGAAAGCAGTTAACTAATCTGTTGAATAATATCCTTTCGTCTAATTTCAATCTATTCATGGTTTTGCGCAACTTCATTCTTTATTTTGGGAGAGTAACATCTTACATCCAACAAAGATGAAATCCACTGGACACTGCTTCTCGCTAGAATACCAGGAACCAGATTAATTGAAGTTAGACATTATTACTATCAAATGCCGTTGGCTCAGTGTTATGGAGGTTAGGTGTTCGTGAATGACATCGAAGGTCCTAGGTTCGATTCCCGTGACAGAGTGTGTTTTTAATTCACACTTCTGATGTTTCCGATACTAGAATGAATAGTTCATCCAATGCTTCCAGGTTTCTGACAGTGAATTAACAATGATTGATTCATGATTTCAGTTTAACTTGACCATCTTCATAATTTTATAATGAAAATTATGTTTTTGATTTTTTTCAGCTTTGATGAACTAAGGTACAAATACATAGAAACAACTATGAACGCAAGCTTCTTATATTTAAGTAATGCTTTTAATTACTTACACCTGTTACCTATAGTAGATTGACAGTCGCTGACCACTGCGTCATGAGACCTCCTTTCTCGTTCTAATCAAGTTGTTGTTCATTCTTTTCATGTGTTCTCTCAATTTTTCGGCGCATTTTGTTCTTTGGTCTAACTCTATTCCTTTATGCGCTAGGATTCCAAGTAAGGGCTAGTCTTGTGATGCAGTTAAACGCCTTCCTCACTATGTTCTTTCCGAATCACATATCTCTTCCTGATTTCTTCTTCAGCTAGAAGCGTATTTTTCCCCTGCTGCATGATCGTTTTCGTGGTTTTACAAGTTTTCGCTCCATACAGTACAGTTGTCTTCTCATTCGTACTGAAAATCATGACTTTGTTGATGGTGGTTAGCTGTTTTGAGTTGTGAATATTCAACAATTGTAAAAACTCACGCCCTCTTTTGCTAATCTCTGTCTTCACAACCGCATCATGACCTCATTGTTTATCAATGATGCTGTCAAAGTAAATAAAAGTTCTTGTTCCTTTCTTTTAAGGCTTTTTCATAGAGTATGATATGGTTGTTGTATATTGTATTGTAGCAGATGATCTTGCTTTTCGCCTTGTGTAGTTTGAGACTTACTGCTGAAGAAGCTGCTGCTTTACTGGTTGTCTTCCCTAGCTGACCACTAGTGGAAAGAGAAAGCTTGACAGTGAGAAACAACCTTACCCGACACCAGTTTTCACTTCGGTGTTTGTGAGCTGTCATCCCTGTACGATCCTGCCGTTAAATCCATCATAATAATTCCGTATGATGACGACTATGTTCTCGAAAGGGCTTCTATTGTGTGATTCAGTCCACACTGTCAAATGCTTCTTAGAGTGTGTTTCTACACTGGCAATCTCCTTGTAGCTTTTCGTTTCAGGCCAGTAGGGTTTCTGGATACTAGCCACTGTCATATTACCAGGTCAAAGATCAGTTAGTCGCAGTGTGGAAAATAATGGGGAGAAAATTCTAATGCTAATAAGAGAAGGATTTCATGACTTTTTACATAAATGGAAGAGGAGGAAGGGCAAGGAAACATAGACTATAAGCGAGATAGATTAAGTTAGCGATTTGAGAAGATTGCAGCAATAACAACCAACTGGCACAGCCTCATCACGAGGGGGATGATAATCCGTATGTGCGTACGTGTTCATCATGCCTCCTCTTAAAGCTAGCTGTCCATTGAAGTGGCTGTGGTCACCGCCTTTGTGCCTCACACTATGTAGTGTGATCATCAAAATGTAACGCGTATAGATTTTACCTGGATAATAAGAAGTTACTTAATAAAATATCATCACATGTACCGATTTCAATGCAACTTTCTTATTCTCTTGTTGTATTTCTCTTCTGTTCACAGGTACACTTTACAATGTGTTCTACCATTGAATTTATTCTTAGAAAAAGTGTATGTTTTCTTATGGTTTTGGTTCATATTGATTGGTGTATTAACGTTTTATAGTTTAGTGAAATGGTTAACACGTCTCACAATTCCACATAATCGTATCGCGTTTATCAGTAAATTTCTATATTCCCATGATGATGATGATGATGATCACGTGGATAATGAAAGCTTAAATCAAACTGATTTACATTACTTCATTATTCATTATTTAAATATAGACGGTGTCTTTCTTCTATGGTTAATGTCAATTAATGCGGGTGATTTAATTATTCATGATTTGATTCATGCTTTATGGAATTTATTCAAAACACGCTTATCCACATGGAACACATTGTCAACCAATAAAAAATATCCTCTAAGTCATCATCATCATCAACACCATCATCATCAACAAAATCTTCAAACATTTGGTGAAAATTCCAATTTCTCCTATCCATCACAGGTAACCACAATGAATGAATGGAATGCCTTGGTGAAACCATCAATTCATTGTCAATCCATGACACAACAGAAACATTTAAAAGCATCATCTTTATCATCGTCATCGTCATCATCATCATCATCAGCATCATCCATTCATCATACACCATTTCATTTGGAACATTTTAAACAATTCACATTCAATGATCACGGTAGGAGAGATTCAAACATTGATCCTTTAACTTATTCAAAAACATGTTATAGTACAGTGTCAAAATTGGAAGATGGATTCAATGTTAACAATCACAATAATAATAATAATAGTACTAAGAATCACAATACCATGAATATTTCCCACACAACAGATTTATTTGAAAGTTCAGATAGTATTGTTTGAATGTGATTCATTTCATTGAATATTGATTTTTTGTATGTGAATGTAGTTTAAGGTTGTTCTTGTTTTTTTAAGAAATACAATATATATATATATATATATTACTTGTTTTCGGGAATATAGTATACATTTTCGAGTAATATCTAGTTGTACATTTCAATTAGTGAAATATTTCTGTGAATTTGAACAATGAATTCATTTGTCTTAATAGGAAGAGTTATGGGGTTCAGTGATTTCAGTTGAATAATAGAATGAATTATGAAGTGTTGAAAGAAAGCAAGAAGTATATCATACTGATCGATCATGATAGCCATTTGAGATAACCTAATTAAATTAGTCAACTAGGTCCAAATCAGGCATCATAGTCATAGAATGTTTCAAATACTTACTTACCTAATCACCTACCTACCTTGGTACTTACACCTGTTACCCCTTAAGGAGAATAAGGCTTCCGATCAGCATTCTACCAACTACTTCGTCATGGGTCTTACCTTCTAGGCCTTTCGAATTGTTGTTCATTATCCTCAAATCAGTCTCCATTTCTCGCAGTAATGTATTCCATAGTCATTTGATGGCGATCTAGTCGAGATTCACTATGATTGCCACTAAATGCTTATTTTGAGCTCATCATCAAGAAGAAGTGTTATACCATAGTAAAGAATGTGTTTGTTGACGATTTCGTGCTATCAGAGGAATACCTAGCCAGGAAATCTAGCCAGTAAAGTGGGGTCAAAATATAGAGATGATGGCGTAAAGATGATAGCAACACGAACGGACGTTTGCGTTTAGAGAGTGCTATAAAACAATCACTGGTACAATCGGTTATAATAATGAATGTTTCTAATTGACCAATAGCGTTCTGTTCATAAAAGTAAATTCAATGCAGCGGCTTACGGCTTTGAAGGATTTACAATTTCAATACGTAGCTGTTTCTTTCGTGAGACTGATCGATAAACGTACGATTGTGGAACGGAAGGGTTGATGATGCTCAAGCTGTCACCGAAGGTCTTTCATGAGTGATATTAGCGGAAGTGTTTGTGTTTGTTGCTCGAGTTCAAGTACCACATTAGCGTTGCTCGTATTCATAGTCTTAAGATTGCGTTCTTAGCGGTCCGGGCCAAAACACGCTGCAGACTTAGGACGGAACCAGAATCAAAGAAGAAAACTGAAGCATCAGAAATGACCAAGTTCGAGACCATACGTATGCCATATATAATCGCAACTAATTAATCGACTGAGTGCATTGATAAGAACGTGGTGGATTAGGCCAGCTTGCGCAGAGGTTGACTGAAGTCGAAGATATCAACAGAGCAATGGTCGAAGACGTGGGCACAGGATAAAAAGAATGACAGAAAAAGAGAAAGGCGTAGTACTCTTGTAATATGGAGATAAAGTCTTATACCGTATCCGTTGTTGATCGGTTAGTCAGTCGCGAAAGCGTACAGGTAGGCGTACGCGGCGACCGTAGCGCGAGATGGTGATCTCGCGCGTACCTCGTGAGCATGCAGTCTCTTCCGAAGTCGAAGGCAGCGTTGTCTGCTGATCTGGAAGTGAGACTGGAGTCTCATCCATAGACGGTGTTGATGGTGCTGTTTACTGGGACGTGAGAATCAGATGTCTGATGTTTCAAGCATGGAATCCAAAGGAGAAATAGGGATCACGCCAGTGAGTTGGGCGTCTCCAGTATTGAATCTGGATCTTTCAGATGGGGCACTGTCATTGACTTGTGCTGGTATGAGACAATCAATGCTAACTGTGTTCAACGACCTTGAATGTCTTTTCGTGACTAGAGATCGCGTGAAAAGATCCCTAGTAAGGCTGTTGCAAAGGTTTACGTACCGAATCTAATCGTATGAAAAAATATGGACAGGCATGTCACTATCGAGGGAGAACGACCAGTCGATGCTATTTTTGATTTCAAACCGGAGGCAGTGTTCGCATCTACCCAGATAGTCGTTGGATATTATCTGGTATAAATAAAACCACTGCTCCGTGGTGTGAAATAATTCCACTGGCAGATGCGATGTCGTGCTTTATACAAGTTCAGAGGCGAAACATTGGATATTTGCCGTTGCTGCTCTGTGATCGCCGTATGATCTGCAGCTACTGTCATCTCTCTTTACGAATCGAATGGAGATAGAAGGCTCAACGAATGTGAGAAAGTAATGCATAACGCAAGTAAACCGTGAAACTCACGCTTGGTGTAAACTGAATTGTCCAGTGCCAGTAGGCCGTGACTGTGGGTCTGTAGGTGACGATGTGGCTTACCACAAGATTTATCACCGATAGAATCTGTTTGGTTTAGTTACTTTGGGGAATTTATCAAATATAACATGAAGTATGTAATCATGCAAAAAAAATACACCAGTGATTCGGCACACATCTTTTTGAGCGTTAAAACCCATGGATTCAATATTCGAGGAAGTATCGATTCAATGCAGCTTACGTGAATCGAATAGAGATTTACAGTTCTGTACAACTGACATATTTCATCGTCATCTTGATGATGGGGTCGTTTCTGAGGGCATTTTTTATGTCTGTTGCAGACATCGGTATTGCGCGAATTGCGGTTGTCAGATAACATTGCTCGTGTTCTTCCACTGACAGAGATGCGAATACCATGTTTTCCTTAGCCGCAGCTCGATCCGTAAGCACCAAGCTAATCGCTGAAGACGATTTGCAGGATGGGCTCGAATTCTAGATTTAGAAACGAATACTGCTAGTTGAGGCTTGTGATCTGTGAGGAGCGTGAATCTCCGACCGTACGGAAACTTGTGGAAACGGTCAACAGCGAATACAAGGGCAAGAGCCTCTTTCTCTATCTGACTGTACTTCTTTTCTGCTGGTGTTAGTGTGTGGGATGCATGCATATCAGCTATTTCTGACGCGTCTGTAAACTGATGTAAATTAACTGCACCTGGGCTATATGCTGAAGCGTCTGCTGCAACGATGATCGAAACCGATGGATCTATGTGTGGTAATAACATTTGCGAGCTAATTATGGACTTGAGTTTACCAAAAGCCGCGTTCACTTCCAAGTACTGTTCTTCTGCAATATACAATTCAATGGAGCGCGGATATCATACACTGAAGGAACAAATGCTGAAAAATAACTGAATAATCCTAGAAAAGATCGCAATTCCGAAACATTAGTGGGAGTGGGCATCAGTGTGATAGTTCGGAAGTTCTCGGGATCCAGTATGCGACCGTCGGCATCAAAGATGAATCCCGAATACTCTACCGACTGCAATAAAAACTGACGTTTCTGTGGACATAACCGGAAACCGTTATAACTAATGCGTTGTGGTACCGATGATATGCGTTCTCGTAGGTGTTCTAACGTCTTTGCAACGATTAAGATATCATCGAGATAAGCTGCAATCCCTGAAATATCTGATAGGATACTATCCATTAGTTGCTAGAATATAGATGGAGCACTCCTAACTCCAAAAGGCAGACGGTTGCACTGGAACGAACCATGATGAGTATTGATGGTAAGCAGCTCTTTTGATGCTTCATCGACTTCCACTTGCAAACAAGCATCGGCTAGATCGAGCTTTGTGATAAGCCTTCTCCCATTCATCCTAGTGAACAAATCTTCTGGCACTTGCAGAGGATAATCATGCTTCTGTGTTGTGTGCTGCATGCTACGGCTGTCCGATTCGGTTTTATTTTTGCGTGAGAGAATGGTGACGTCAGATGCGGTATCTGTTTGCATGCCCATTATTATTAGGAGTGATGAATCTGTGGTGTGTCTGTTTATTGCCTGTTCTTAAGCTCTGTAATTAACTCGTTCAGACAATCGTTGCCAAATAGCGTTTGACGGTTTATAAATCAGAAGATGAATTCGTAGTGATGAATACGTTTATTCGAGATACACCACAAAGCGAAGCGGGGAAGTAGTGAATAAAACGAATGAAGCGACGTGAACTGGAGAAAGCTTTTGAGCCAACTCCATGGGTTACAATGCGAACGAATAAGCGAAGTGAATTGGAGAAGGCTAAGAGCCAACTCCTTGGGTCACAATGCAAACGAATGGGAGATGCGAATTGGAGAAGACTAAGAGCTAACTCCCAGAGATAGAACATGTCTGAGAATATATAGTCATAAAAAAATAAGGCAGACATATGACAAGCGAAATAGGCGTGCACAGATCGGCTTGGACTACCACTCTGCACTATAGTTGTGTCCCGTTATAGGTTATTGAGAAGTTGGTACTCATTAGCCATGTCAATAAGGGTGAGCTTTGGACCTTGCTCCAACCGACATATTTTCCTTGTTCTAATGCCACTGAACTTATGTGACTGGAGGCTGCATATGAGTATGAGGGCTTTAAACTGATCTTTCTACAAAAGCTTGAACCGGAAGCGTTCGCATTCACGGTTGACGATGCCCACGTGCGTAAGAAAATCATCGTCTTCGTTAATAACTGGCTGCAAACAGCGATATATGAGTAATAAACAGTGACGAGTTGTCGCCAAAGTGTTGGCTTAATGTCTGAACTGTATCAGAAAACGAATGGTCTCATGAGTTCAAAGGCAGGATCAAATTGCATTACTTATCCAGCTGACTTGCCGTTAACTTTCGAAGTAGTGGCCGAACCTTCCAAGCATCATCTTGGTTGGCGAAACCAAATTTAAATAAATCTTCATAACTCCGGAACCGCATATCAAAAGTCACATTGGCATCAGGATCATATTGAACTTCAGATATGCTATTTGCGATGCCGTCGACCGATGGAGCTGTGGTTGCATTAGATGAGCTGAGCTGTGTGCAGGGGAAATCTTCATGTCTGTCAAAATCTGCATCAGTTTCAGCTGCTGCTCAAATAATAATTCAAGTTTAGCAGGATCCATCTTCCCAAAACTACCGTCGCCAAATGTTAAGTTCGTCACTAGGTACGCCTGAAGCTATTACGAGTTCACCTTAGTCTATAAAATCGAACTAGACAATGACCCAGCGTCCAGACAGGCTACCTTGATCGGAAAACGGCAAAACAGAAGTCTTGATAAGTGGATACAGTTTATTCTATAACACCCAGCAA